CCAAAACAAACAAGGGCAAAGCTTACTGATGCAGAGGTTGGTGCTGAGAAGCGAAGCAACCAGAGGTGACACAGCAAGAGATGTGAAGAGGTGTATTCCCTAGACTAGAAGGGGCAGTAGAAGGTAGGGCTGCTAGCTACCTACAGAGGAGATGGGGGATCGACGAGAAGATCAAGTCTGACGTTCCCTGCCTCAGACTCCCTACTATATATACTAATACAATGGTGCACAGACCAGGTACCTATTGACCATCGTTTGGTCAGAGTTCTCTGCCTCATGTCCTACCCTCTGACCTGCCTCATGGTGACCTTACGACTAATACCTGAGTTGTGCCGAGTCCGGACCCCTCCCAATGAGTAAGCGCTCCTGCTGTCACATCAGTCACCTGCCTGTGAGTGAGGATGGGCGTTCCTGTTCGTCACGAGGTCTGGGGTTCGATCCTGGCCCCTCCACTTTCCGATACAAGTTGTCCGCGGTCAAGGTGAGCGTCTGTTCCAGTACACATGACCCCCAGGTCACGTGGCACGAGAAAACTGTGACACTATGGCACCCGGTCGCCTTCTACTCCAAGTCTCTCAATGTTCATGAGCGCAACTACGAGATATACGACAAGGAGCTCTTAGCAATCATCCAAGCCTTGGAGGAATACCGGCACTACCTGGAGGGACACCCTGAACCAATTGAGATCTGGTCAGACCATCTCAACCTCACCTACTTCCGACAAGCACAGAAGCTCACACGCCGACAAGCCCGATGGAGTTTGTTCATGTCCCGCTTCAACTTCGTTCTGAAGCACCGCCCTGGAAAGACAATGCTACGAGCCGACCCTCTGTCCAGGAGGCCAGATCATGAAGAGGGGGTAAGCAGTGATACCTTCGGACAGACACTGCTGAAACCCGAGTTTTTTGCAATCAAAGCCATGCAACCTGGTCATGTCTCCATCGTCAACGACGAGGAACTGCTCGAACACATCAAGAAGGCCCTTGAAGATGACAAAATGACGAAGCACTACAAGGAATTGCTAGCTAGTGGACCCCGGGAGTTTGGAAAGTACCTGCAAGATTGGAACATGGAGAACGGTTTACTGTTACGACGCGGCAAAGTCTATGTGCCCAAGGACCAAAGCATCCGCCTCAACCTGCTCAAACTACATCACGACACGTTATTAGCAGGACACCCAGGAAGGTGGAAGACCTTGGAGATCATTGCATGGAACTATTGGTGGCCCGGCATGTCAATCGATGTCAAGAAGTACGTACAAGGATGCGACACTTGCCAACGAAACAAGTCAGTCAGGAAACCACCGTACGGATTACTGCAGCCAAACGAGATCCCCGCTGGACCATGGGAAATCTGGTCAATCGATATCATCTCTCAGCTTCCGCCGTCGGTTGATAGACACGGCAACACCTTCACCGCGATAGTAGTAGTAGTGGATCGTCTCTCGAAACGGTCCCACTTCTTTGCAGCTGACGACCATTTCTCGGCAACAGAAGCAGCTGAGCTCATCTACGAACACATCCTGAAACACCATGGCCTACCGCGGCAGATCATCTCTGACCGAGGCACGCAGTTTGCGAGTGCAGCGTTTAAGGAGTTTTGCAAATTGCTAGGAATTCGATCGTCAATGTCCACGGCTTATCACCCACAAACAGACGGACAGACTGAGCGAGTCAACCAGTCACTTGAGCAGTACCTTCGAATCTTCACAGAACACCGACCAGACGATTGGGCATCTCTTCTGTCCACCGCGGAGTTTGCGTACAACAATGCCCCACACGAGTCAACCGGCCTGTCGCCCTTTTTCATTGAGTACGGATACAACCCAAAGATGGCTCCCGACATTCATGAAGAACTTGCCTTCCCATCCCTCGAAGACGTGTTCCACAATCGTGCAGAAGCAAGGGAACAAGCGCAAGCGTCACTCACCATGGCTGCCGAACGGATGAAGTGGTATTACGACCAAGGCCGTGTGGACCCTCCCTTTAAGGTTGGCGACAAAGTTATGCTCAAAGGACACGACCTCAAGATCCGCAACTCGTCAGCCAAGCTCTCAGCCAAGAACTATGGGCCGTACGAGATAACGGAGAAGATTGGACCCGTCGACTTCAGAGTCAAACTTCCGCCGCAGAACAAGGTGCATCCCGTCTTCCATGCTTCAAAGCTTATCCCCTACCATGAAGACGAGATCGGCAACCGCAATCCGGAGAAGCCTGACCCCATCGAAGTTGAAGGCCACGACGGGTTTGAGGTCGAAAAGATCCTAGACTCCCACGTCAACCGTGGATACATGCAATACTTCGTCAAATGGGCTGGCTACGATGTCTCTAAAGCAACTTGGGAGCCTGTACGGAATGTCAAATACGTGAAGGAGCTACTTGATGAGTTCCATGCTCTCCATCCAAACACACCGAAACCAATCGCTCTCAACAACCCACGACCAGTCACCCGGGAGTTTCAACGCAATATCTGGTTTGAACGCTTCGCAGGAGCTCAGATCTTGAAGAGGGGGTAGTGTCACAGTTTTCTCGTGCCACGTGACCTGGTGGTCATGTGTACTGGGACAGACGCTCACCTTGACCGCGGACAACTTGTATCAGAAAGTGGAGGAGCCAGGATCGAACCCCAGACCTCGTGACGGCCAGGAGCGCCCATCCTCACTCACTGGCAGGTGACTGATGTGACAGCAGGAGCGCTTACTTATTGGAAGGGGTCCGGACTCGGCACGACTCAGGTATTAGTCGTAAGGTCACCATGAGGCAGGTCAGAGGGTATGACATAAGGCAGAGAACTCTGACCAAACGATGGTCAATAGGTACCTGGTCTGTGCACCATTGTATTAGTATATATAGTAGGGAGTCTGAGGCAGGGAACATCAGACTTGATCTTCTCGTCGATTCCCCATCTCTTCTGTAGGTAGCTAGCAGCCCTACCTTCTACTGCCCCTTCTAGTCTAGGGAATACACCTCTTCACATCTCTTGCTGTGTCACCTCTGGTTGCTTCGCTTCTCAGCACCAACCTCTGCATCAGTAAGCTTTGCCCTTGTTTGTTTTGGTGGCACAGCTCGTTGGCTGTGACAGCTGTCCAAGAGCTCAAAATCATCTACTCAGGTGTGTTCCACCATAGAGGTCGTCGTCCTGCGTGTTCTTGTCGACCCTAGACGTTATCTGCCTGATTTCGTAAAGCACGGTGCTCAGATGCTTGCCTGTGATTTATGGGAACTTGAAGTTGTTGCTGAACGAGTGTGAACACAAGAAGTTCTGCGCGAACATCTCGTACCGGGATAGGTAAAATCTGATATGGCATGAGAGGCAAGTAGGCAATGGCACAGGTCTACCCTCGGGTGTCACCTATGTGACCCTCAATCCAACCCGTGATATACCCTTACCCGTGACCCGGGGGTCACAGCGGGTCAAGGGTGCGAGCACCGGTATGGCGGGTACGGGTCAACCCCAGGGTTTACCCGCTGCTTACCTAGCTAACTGAGTGTCCGCAGCACACTAAACAGCAATGTAACCTTAATAACAACCCGTAAGGAGCTCAATAACAACCATAAGTAGCTTATAGTAGCTGGTTGGAGCGGTCCGAACAGAAAAGCGACAGAGAAATGGATTGGCACCAGGCTGGATTGAACCCGAGACCTCACGGTCTGAGCACAGCCGCTCAAAAGCCATTAACTACTACACCATAGCAGCTTATACCAAAATATATTTATGGGTTTATACATACGCGTTTCGGGCGCTTACTCAAGCGCTTATACCCGTAACCCTTACCACGGGTCAAGGGTTTGGCAAGGGTCAGGGGCTGGTGACCCTTGATCTGACCCTTAGCACTCGACCCTTGGTAACCCTTGAGGGTCAGTGACACCTTGCTATTGCCTAGAGGCGAGGGACGCAGGCTACGCTGCTTTGGGTTCGGACGTTGTTCGTCAGCACTGATTAGTTGCCAACATGATAAACTTGGGGCTGTGAAGACAAAGATTAGATCCGACTAGAGTCGAAGCAAGATCTTCAGTCAGTAAGGAAAGACTGTATTGCAGTAACGAACTGTACCTAGAGTCGAAGCAAGACTACAAAGGTTAAGTAAGTAACTACAAGTTAGAGGTAAAGGTAATGAAGTACTCACTCTTCAGTCAGTAAGGAAAGACTGAAGAGGGAGGACACAATCTGAAGTCCTTATATACTACAGAGAAGTGTCCATGACTAATCGAAGAGTGGTTAGTCACATGTACCATAGTGCGATGAATATTACGATGGTGAAAGAATTGCGACGTATCGCACCATAGGATGAGTAAGAGATGAGTAAGGCATAGACCTGTCTAGACCGTTCTGGAGTAGTACAGATTGTCCTAGACAGTACCAGAAGAGTCCGGAATCATAGCTATAGTACACGAGCAGAGAGTCCCAAATAAGGTAACATACTACATAAGCGACTACAGCTAAGCGCTAGGAGACGCATAGCCTTGTGTAGTCCAGACTGGATAAGTCCAAGTTCAACACAACAGGTGCTCTGATCAAGGTCTTCGGCGAGCCCAGGCCTGCACCGATGCACGGCGCAGTCGAGTGTCACACTAGTGATGCGCCAACCTCGAGCAAGACACATCTGTGCGGTTGTTGCAGCGCTGAACATTCAGACGTTAATACAGAGGCAGGTTATGATTGCGAGAGTACGTACAATCCTCTTGTGGCCTTTGTACGCTAATACACATCTATAGACTTCACGCTGCGAGATGATTGGGAAATGCTCGCTGCGTCTTTTAGGGCAAAACAGGTGACCTCGAAGAAGAAACGCAAGGAGATTTTAGATAAGACGGGGAAACGATACTTGGTGATGGATGAGCTTACCGGATGGCTCCTGGTGTCCACATCGGCAATTGACTTCATGCACAACTTCTATGGTGCGTTGCTGCTTGACGTCGCCTGCCTGTAACATGGGTTACTGATAAGTCTTGAGGTATGGCATCACACATGTTCAAGGAGATCTTGATTGGCGGGTACCTTCTGGATGCGGATGGATGGTGGAGACTCCAGGACGTCGTCAACTCAATACAGTGGCCATCTGGAATAGGACGACTGCCCTCCAATGTACGTTTTTTGGTGTTTTCGAATATGCGATTTGGCTGATGAACCTAGCTGGGAGAGAACCGCGGACTTCCGAAGGCTGACCAGTGACGTCGCTGGGTAAACATCTAGTGCACTGTCCTCTGGTCGGTCTGGAGAGGTGAGGACGATAGGATCCGGCAAAGTGCACCTGACATCCCCTCGAACGCAAAGGCACGACCAAAATTTGAGCGCAATCTCATCAAGATATATTGTGTCTTCATATACGCCTCCCTCGCAGAATGGATCCTTGCAGCCAAGACCATCTCGAAGCAAGAAGTTGAACATGGACATCGCTTTCTACGGTGGTCCTGCCAGGAGATGGTCGCACTCGGAATTCATCTTGTCCCAAACTTCCATTACTCCATGCATTACCCTCAATTTTTTCGCCTCTTTGGGCCTGTCTATGCATGGTGGCTCTTCGCTCATGAGCGCTTCAATGGTGAGCTCGAGAAAGTCAATATTAATGGGCATGCGGATGGACAGATGGAATTGTCACTCACGCGCAACTGGATCGCCAAGCACCGTTTGCATGAACTTGTAAGTGGTCACCATTCCATGATTCGATATCTGACAAGTACATGTGTATAACAATAGATCTCCGCACTGCCAGTGGATGTGACCGCCCAGGAACGCAGCCTTCTTGAGCGCATCTGTACGGAGCAGGGCGCTGCTCGTGGAACACTCCGCACACAGATCGTCGCATTCGCACGTGGGTCCTCGACAATCCTCAAGCCCAAACACATCAAGAAACCCACTGATCTCGGATGTCTGCCTCACCCGGAGGTCTATCGGCTGCTCCTCGACTACATGCACTCTCAGAACCCCGCTCTCAACATCGCAGATGACATGACCCGCTCATGCGATTACGACACTATTTTTTTGGCGAATGGCTCCGCCAAACTCCTCCCCTTCATATCCAAAGATGGCCTTCATTTCGGATCAAGTGCTGATACACGAACACAAGCTGACTCATTTGCTTGCGTAGACTTTCCTGATGGTCGAATCCCATGCTATCTACTATACCATTTTGAAATAAACATCTCCGGTGTACCTTCCGTATTTTGCTCAGTAGTACAACACATGACCTCGGACGACAGTATGCCGACTTTCCCTTGGTCCATGTAGTGTGCACTCCATTTTTCTTGTCCGAAATCACCCTTACATCTCACATTATTTGTATAGCTCTACTGAACTAGGGATTTATGTTGCATACGTGCACCGCCTCAGCGCAATGGAAGTTATCAACAGTTTGCAGATTTCAGCCACCGTTGCCATCATCCCCATCACGAGCAATATTCGTGGACCCCACTATCCCATCTGGGTTGTACACTCCTTTGATCGTGTATGTCATCATTTTGTGCGTACCAAACTGCTGATTGCGATACAATTTCTACAGACCGGAATTGAGCCAGATGACATATGGTTTAACAACCTGCAAGAAGAACTCGACCAAGACCAAGATTCTGAGGATCGCTCAACTGGAACTTGATGTCGCACGAGCCGACAATTTTTTGGAGAGAACTGGGCGCTCAACACCTATAGCTAGTCAACATCTCTTCAACTCGTCAAATATCAAATCAGGGTCCAAACCATGCGTCACCTCAGCAACGCGTGCGCGCGCAGCCTCAACTGCGGTTGTGTCTGCACGCGGTCGTTTTGTCTTTCTCCCCGTCCCTTGCTTCCCTTGCTTCCGCTTTACAGGTTTCTCGACCGGATCGTCCTCTTCCCCCCACAATATACCATTCCTTGCCACTCGCCCCGACTCCATCCAATCGGGATTCGCCTGAAGGGCCTCCAGCCTAACCATCTATGTGCGAACACGATTGTTCAATTGAGCTTTAGGGGGCTTCACATGCTCAAGGTCTGCACCAGGCACTCGTTCTTTCATGAGTTGGGTGTCACGGACGTTGGACAGACGCCCCTTTTTGCCGCCCATTCCCCTCCCCTTGACACCCACCTTCCATTTTCGGACCATTTCCTCTCTTAGCCCATCCCAGTTTGGACACTGTAGATACGTTCCCACACCCGCATGCTACGTTCCCGTGATCGCCATGCCTTTACCTTTTCCTTCTCGCCCTTTGTTCTCCCTTTGTCATCTGCACTGCCTCGCTCTTGCGCCTTGTTTCACGAACCGCCCTCACGGCGCTACGTTTCCTTTTTGATTCGGACCATTGCCTCGTACGCTTCCTTATTGTTCACTACTCGCTATGGTTTCCCTTTGTCCGCACACGGACAATAGCTCCCTTTGTCCCCACGTCCGCTATTGTCCTACACCCCTTGTACTTCGTACCCATGGCGACGCTATTGTTCTCTAGCGCCCATTGTTCGTTCCCTGTATATAGCTGGATCCCTTGCTACCTGGAGACTCTAGTTTCGACCTCTTGTCTCCAGGTAAGCCATCGTGTATTTCGCTCTGTAGATACTTCGCTCAATACACAACTTGTCTCCAGTCCTGCCTGTTGAGCTCCGCTCCAGTCTCACTGCGATCAGAGCTCGTCGGCGCTCCTGCCTGCCTCGCTCGTCTCCAC